TCCACCTGAAGGAATTTTATGATATTACCTTCCTCTCTCTATGTTTTTGTCTTTCTCAGCATCTCTGCAAGAGCACATACAAAATCTAAAATTGCTCGACCATACTACGTTCGTAGTGTATCATGTGAAAGTTCAAGAGGTTTCGGCTACAAATCCTCGCCGACATAGCAGAATTGGCGGGATTTACAATAAGTGTCAAATGGTCCATCATGACTGGTGTTAAGAGAAATATTTACTTTTTCGGCATTCTGTAAGGGGTATAAAAAGTCTCATGGAGTTAGTGATAGATTTTATTTTTAAGCGATTCGGATGTATTCCATTTATGATTGGTTTGTTAGTGAGCTAGATGCGATGAAAACTGGGCATAAAACGTTGTACTGCATGTAAGTTCACTTTTTCATATTTCCCAGAAGCCCATTCTTATTCGGGATGGAAGTCAACTCGACTACATCTGCTTGCCCCATTTCAGACTGGATTATGAACGAGAACCCTCAAGTTGAGAGTTAAATAAACTGTTTCCCAAGCTATAATCGCCCTATTTCGTTTATGCTGATTAAGGAGTGGTAGTTGAATTTTCCCACAATCATATGAGCAGACCTCACGTTTCCTTTGAATGTCTGATTCACAAAATAAATTCTCAGTGAGACTCTAATAATGAAAGTACAGCGTATATCTTCGACACGTTGACCATTACGCCACATTGCCATGAGTGTCTTTGAATAACTGGTCAGATGTGAATTTCAAGGAAGACACTGTATCTTGCTGTGTCACATTCTGTGTTGGGATTGTCGATGGAGCAAACTTATATTTGCTATTGCATTTGACGACATTACTTACATTTCGTTTTGAGTAGGTTGTCGTGACTACCAGTAAATCTGAAATATGGAAAAATGCTTGATCCTCCTTGAAATTCACATATGCCCTGCGACCCAAGGGCACTCGTGGCATTGTGACATAGTCGTTCATGTGAAGAGATTCTACATTGCATTTTCATGGTTCGACTCCTGCCGAGGGTGTTGATAAGACCTAGGCGAGATGGAAACTGCTGTCCATCCTGGATGAGGACGTCTTTTCGAAAAGCAAGGATATTTGAAATGCAATGGAAACGTCAGATCTACTCATACCATTGTGGGACAATTCTACTATTAGTCATTCATCTCCTTATAAGACCTAAAGTTAACAGATATGAAGATTAAAATAGTGTTGTCTCTATTTTAGTCGTAGCCGTGGGACTTTCTTCAAATAAAATCCGAGTAAAATGTACCGAATTTGATCATGTTGCCTCTTTGTATGGTTTCACCATCTCGATGGCCCTCTTACCACTATTCTCTCCTACACATACTCCCCTCTCTTAGCATTCACATACACACGAACAACATCTATGGGGATGCCACAAAAATGCCTACATCATTCTAATTTTATAAAGCCCCTTACTTTATTCTTATAACTTCTATTTAGTCTTCTAGATCGCTATCCAACTTCAGCTCAGCTCTCATGTACCAAACGTCTATGAGACAGATCACTACATAGTTTGCCCACTCGTTGGAGCTCGGGATGCCCCAAAGAGGGCGTTAAGTCGTCGAGGCAATCCGCTAAGACGCTTTTTCCCTTGCCCACTTTGTAAAGGAATTCCACGATGCACACACAGACCCAGCCTCTACAACTAGAGCCATGAATGCCTCAGAAGAGTGGGTAACAGATATAATAATTCAGGCAGTCTCGTGAACGCATTCGCGTTGTCAAGTGAACGTGGTCACATGGCAACGTGCCGGCTGTGATCTGCACATCGTTTGCTTGAACATCGCCTCTTGACTCGTAAACAAATGAAAATCCTCTATTCACACAACTCACTAGATTCGGTTCAAACCAAACCATTTCTTTTTTTCTTCTCTTAAAGGTCTCAGATGAAGCAAGAGCTGCAAATGAGGTGCGCCTGATCATGATCCTTGACGAGGCAGGCTGGGCTACTGACCAGTTCGGGCTGATAACCAACTTTTTTCTCTGTTTGATGCAGGCCGAGCTGGATTGCTTCCAAAATAGGGCCCGTTTTCTCACCGACTACTATCGGTAAGTAATAGTAATATACAACAGCTCTACACTCTGTTTGCAGAGTTTTTGCATCAAATACATGGTCTCTCAAAGCTTGGCAGTCTTGCCTGCTGATGCATAAATCGTTTTATTTGTATACTCAATAATTTAAATCCTATAAAAATATCTTGAATAAGAACTCTACTCGCCTACTCTTTGACTACTCATATCTTTGTGGGAAAATTTAACAATCAGTCCTTCAGATCCTTGTGCGACCTAGAGTTAATATAGACATGAAGACCAAAATATAATGGCCGCCAATTTTGTCGCAGACTCCTTGCGATGTGTAGAAATGGTCTGACCTCGTTTTCGCAACTTGTTCGTGTTGTTATGGCGACCGAATTGGATTCGCCTTGCCCAAACTTTTTTGTTATAATGATTATGATAATTTTAGCGTATGACTGTGGACGTTGTACATTCGCAGTCGTTTCGCTGTCATCGTCGGTGAGTCTTGCCATTCTCAACACTTGTCTCTAAGACTTTAACTAAAATAACAGAGGACTTCGGAAAAGTACGTCTAACTAGGTTGCCTTGACAACCCAACCAAGTTTGGATAGAAGTCGCACCACTCCTGGAGTTAATACAAATCTTGCAAATATGGTGAAGCACGTATGTGTACATCTCCTTAATACACGTCTGCCCGGGAGGCCAAGTTGATCTGCTTTCATAGCGATAATATAAGATAAGAGTAAATGAATGACCGATCAAGATCTGTTGCTGAAGAGTTGTCGCCAAAGTGGCACTGAAGCTAAAAGACCGTAGATATAAAGAAAGAATGGGTTTCGACAGGTCCCTTCATAAATCTTTTATCATATAAGTTCAGATATGGTCTTCTTTGTGTTACGATTTATAGAGGCCCAATCGGATGGACGCAAGGAGACTGAATCACAGAAAGCTTGTATAGAATTAAACGGTGAACGCGTAAGGGTGGAGCAGAAGCCAGCG